GCGGAGGGCAGGTATATGTATGATGGCTTGGACTGTAGAAACAGAGTTCTCTACGCTTGGTTTTCTGTCACAACCACCACCTTCGGATTACCTCTGATCACTTCTAGTCATCTCCAGTTACCTCTTGTACCTTTAGTTACCATTAGTACCCACTCGAACCTTTAGACCTTTTAGATATATATATTACCCATCTTTTAAACCTCTAGTTCCTCATAGCTATCTCCAGTAGACTTCCAGTCATCTCTTGCAATCCATCCGACCTCTTCTCGCCCTCCTATTACGCTTCAGGTCAAACGCCTAAGCTCCAGTCTGACAATTACTCACTATCCTTTTCACTATTTGCCTCACAATAGGCTATCATCCAAAAGGGTATAAAGAATCAACTACTATTGTTCTGTGGAAGCCTCAAAAGCCCAGATACAATAATCCAAAGGCATATAGACTAATTGCGCTCCTCAATACAATGGGTAAAATCCTCAAAAAGTTGGTAGCAGGTCGCCTCTCCAAAGCAGCAGAACACCACAACCTCCTTCCCGATAAACAGATGGGAGCTCGACCACAGAGATCTACAATATCTGCAGTCGAGCTACTGACAGAACAGATACACACAATCTGGGGCAAAGATAAAAAGAGGGTGGAATCTCTCCTCAGCTTGTATATATCTGGGCTCTTTGATAATGTATCACACGAACGACTCATTCACAATCTCAGGGAAAAAAGAATTCCAAAGTGGATGAGTCTCTACATAAAGTCCTTCCTCGAAGAAAGAACAATATCAATAATGTTGGAATCATGCAAACGAGACCAAATGTCTACCAGTACTGGGATACTGCAAGGCTCAGCTTTCTCGCCAATACCCTTTCTCTTTTTTGTCAGCACACTTCTCCTGATGCTCGAGACAAGAACTACGACAGCAGTTGGATTTTAGATGACACAAACATCCTGACACGGTCAAATTCGACAGAAGAAAACTGCCGAAATTTGGAGGAAAAACACCAAGTATGTGAATAGTGGGCACGAAGACATGGGGTCAGATTCGCGCCTGAAAAGTATCAGCTAATGCACTTCTCCCGAGCCAGGAAACGACACAGCCTCAAAGCGATAATTAAAATCCAAGGCCATAACACAGTCCCACGGCCTTTCCTACGAGTTCTCGGAATCTACTCTGATCCCAAGCTGAGCTGGGAAGCTCACATCAAGAGCCTTCAACTGAAGGCAGAAATTCAGGTTCGGGATCTCAGTAGGCTAGTTCAATCAACATGGGACGCCACATTTCACAAGTCAAAGATACTCTACAGCACAATTGTGAGGCCGGCACTAACATATGGGTTACCGCTTTGGGCTGAGGTCGTGTTACGGGCTGCGCCTGACCCTAGTAAGAAGTGGAAGGTTAGATGTTCGGAAGACTAATGATCTCTAACCCTAGTCAACAAGGTCCAGGCAAGGAATTAGAACCCATGCAGGTTGAGCGAAGACTCCTTGAACAGCTAGCCTCATAATCTCCTACCGGGGAGGTCAGACAGCAAGCGTATAGACTTTACCAATGGTTAGGAGATATAATAAGACCTTCCCTCTAGAATTAGTTAGTCTCTCTTGCATGTAAAAAATAGACAGTATTTGGACTTCATACCCTTGCTTCATTGTGTTGTCGTAGCCCTTTCACAGGTCGGGCCAGGTGGAAAAATACCAGAGAGGATAGTAAGACCTCTCAGAAGTATACAGAGGAATTGTCTGAAAATTTTCACCAGGGCATACAAGTCCACGAGCACGAGAGTGCTGGAACACGAAACAGCCACCCTTCCGATCGAAATATTCTTAAAGCAACGAAGGCTTTAATATTTAGTTCGCTTAAAGGACTTACCTGTCCAGAAGGCAATCCAGTCCGCCTGTAGTAAAATCAAGCTGCCCAAAAAAGGGAGAGAAGGTATACGAACAGTCAACAGGAGGATAGATCTTGCCAACTGGACGGGAATGTGCGGTGAACAACAAGCCAAGAAGACACATACAGAGATAGTGAAAGTTATGGCATACCAAGAGTGGGCAAAATGCTGTGCCAAGCAGAAACAAACTCAGAAGCCTCAGCAGTTAGCAACTGCAGATTCCGAAACTTGGAGAGCAGCCACATTTTACAAAAGTAGAGAGTCTGGAGGACAAAAACTGAGGTTTTCAAGGCTCACCATTCTTCCTACACCGTAACCTGACAAGGGCCCGAAGCAGTTTGGCAATGCAAATACGAAGTGAGCACATGGGACTTAACTCGTATTTACACAGAAGAAAAGTACCCGAAGTATTAAGTCCAGGTTGTCCATGTGGCTACCAATCGCAGCGCCCCAAGCGTATGATTATGTCCTGCCACTGATGGTCAAATGGTAGAGCTGAGATCTGGAGACAAGTCAAAGATCGATCTTACGAAGCGATGATAAACAATCCCGGAGATATAAAAAGGATAACACAGTGGATCCTAAACCATGGTTAGATAGAGCAATTCCAGATGACAAAGGCGGTCGAAATACTGCTGAGGGAAAGGAAAAGGTCAAATAATACTTGGGCGGATAGAGATGATCTGGCTGGTTTACATGGATGGCACTATAGTGTAACTGCGCTTCTTGAAGAAAATATGTGGGAACTATAGACAACAAGTAGAAAGGTGTGGGAGGTTTTCACCATAAACGTTTCCTCCCGGGTAAATATTATAGATTGTAGACACCTGTATAGGCCCATAGGGCGCCAAATCAGGATAATGAAATCAAATTCAAATCAATAGATTGTTGTATTTAGATAGTTATGTATATGAAAAGGTGTTACTTCTACTAAGTCTACCGAGCAGCAGACATATACTAAAGTCTGTGCATGTTGAGTATCACGTGGCTATCTTGGCTAATACTTACCAATCACAACGAGTTGATAGTGTTTGGAGTAATGGCGTATCTCATTAGGTAAACAGTATAGATCTGATTACAAGACTCAATATGTGTGTGTGTGTGTTTTTTATTGTACTATTTGAGTCTTTGGCTATCTAGCACATTGGGCTACTGTCTGACCCAGGCCACACCTTGTACAATGCTCCTTGCCCCTCATGTTACTCGAATGATCATTGATATATTGCCCGTGATGAATAGCCATTCAGCTCAGTGTTTACCCGTGGAATTCAGCCACCTATTCCACGGAACCTTCTACCCAAAAAAATAAAAATGGTAGCAATGGATACTGCGTGCGCGGGAAAAAGTCTCAAAAAACCTGCAGCCCTAGCCAGACGAGGCCTAGACACCGGGACCACATGAGGTGCGCATATCCATGTATATCTCCACACTTTGTAACTTTCGAGGCCGACTTGATCCAATCTACCATCTCCACATCGGATGCTGGGTACGCTTAGGAAACTCATTGGATCGCTTTTCCTCCATGATCAAGGGTGGGTGACGAGTAGGGCTCCTATCCTACCATCTGATCTGATCGTGGTTACCTTCATGATAATGGTGACAGGGGAATGTGTTGAGGGATGTAGACGATGTGGATCCTTAACGTAGCAGGCTACGTTATGTAACATAGACTACTAAATGCGGTTAGCCTATAATTAGTAAGCCACACACAAAGTGTAGATTTCGGAGTTGGGAGTCAGGAGGAGACATAGACAAATTTATTAGAACTCAAGCTTAACTATTGCATTTTGCGGAACTAGCTGTAGTAGAGCCACGAATTATATTTGTCACCATCCTGTTTCAATTGTGATCGATCGAAACCCACAACGATACAGACCGCGAAAGCGATTGGGAATCCTTGTCGAAGTGAGGACTTTGTTAAATCAATTCGGTAAAAACCCCTAAAACTGTGTGTCTCATGTCTATTGGTTTCCGACAGGAAGTGCGTTTACAATTTTTACACAGTGTGTATTCCATCCTATCCTCGCCCACGTCGTCTCATCTTTTCGTCCAATGGAATTTCCATTTCTCCTGCGAGCCGGAACCGTTCAAACCAGCCATTTACCAGGATTCATTTTGTTATTCTCTCTGTATCATCTGGGCCGTTCATCATTGCCGTAAGGGACCTATCTTTTGACTTTCGAAGGACCTCGTCCTCTTGCCCACTGAGGACACGGCAAGACCATATGTTTGACATTTTGAGATTCACATCCACACTAAAATCTTGGATAAATCACTCCGGGGACTTTCCTTTGATACAGATAAGAGTTCAGACCGATGAGCTCACTTCTTATCTGAACTGCAATACTGTTTTGGGCCCTGCTAAGGTTCCGGTGGACATTTGAGGGTGCAATACTATAGATGATCCTTTTCCTGCCTGTTGTCTCATCTGTATCCATTATTATTCCTATTATTTTTGAAATTGATTTCATTTATCCCAATTTGGCGCCCTATGGGCCCATGCAGGTGTCTATCAAACTTTCCGACTTGCATAGGAGGAAGCCTTGCAATGAAAACTCCCTTAGCTGTCTGATTGGATTCTGCGCCATAATAGTCTTAGCATGAGGAAGTCTATTCACTCTGTTAATTAATTAATTAATTCATTTTATTGTCCTGTCTGAGTCTATGACTATGTAGGACATGCAGGTCCTCTCTGCCGACAGGCTATGTATACCTATACCAGTAGTATATCCCTTCCTCTGCCTCCCACATAGCTCCCCTCAAACAGTACCACCCCTCACAAGTCCTCATTCGATCATACACTAAGAGGAGCCCTTAGCCCTTCATTATCTCCCCTCTCCAGCCAACGAAACGATGGCCATTTACGGGTGTATGGCAGCCGGGAAAATTCGCAAAAACCACTGGGTGCGGGGCTTTTTATCCTATTACCATCTCTCCGTACGAATGTGCATCAGATTTGTAACGTTCTGTCTTTCACGGAGTAGGTAATTAAAATATGCTGACTTGAGTAACTAGAAAGTCCTAGCTGCCTCGTAAGGCCAACAGTTGGTCCGAGTAAAGTCGGTTCAAAGAACTGAGGTGGAGAGCTTGTCGATAGATTGACACAAGTTAATCTAGATCATGCTCCCTCGGCTTCCACTGAAGTCATGGGCTTCAACATTGCGTTTACCAAAGTCTACCTTTCCGTAAGCCACAGAAACGTCGGTAGCCTTGAACAGATTAAGTACTGAACAAAAATTCAGTGCGCGACCCTCAGCAGTGGATCAAATACAATATTTAAAGCGCTGCTCAGACGATCTCTACCAGTGGCAGAAGCGTGAACGTTCTGAAAAGGAGCTTTTTGTGTTACATGATGGGCCACCATACGCAAATGGCGAATTGCACATTGGCCATGCTTTAAATAAGATTCTCAAAGATATAATCTGCCGGGTAAAAATACAGCAAGGTATAGCTTTTTCGAACGCTCGTAATTTTATGACTTACCACTACTAACACGCGAGTGGGTTACAGGAAAAAGAGTTATATATGTTCCAGGCTGGGATTGTCATGGACTCCCTATTGAGCTTAAAGCAATTGAACGTCAAAATAAGTTACGTCAAGGAGATAATGAGGAACTTAATTCTGATAAGATTCGACAAGCAGCCAGGAATTTAGCGTCAGAAACAATCAAACAACAAAAAAAGGGGTTTCGAGAATGGGGCGTCATTGCTGATTGGGATAATGCTTGGAATACTATGGACTTATCGTATACGCTAGATCAGCTCCGTGTCTTCCAGACTATGGTCCGAGATGGGCTAATCTTCCGACGTAACAAACCAGTTTATTGGTCTCCTTCCACTCAAACGGCCCTTGCAGAGGCAGAGCTTGAGTACGAAAATAACCACAGGTCGACTGCTGCATATGTCAAGTTTCAGTTGACGACTGTGCCGCAAATATTACATGGAAAAATAGGCCCAAATGACACGATATCTATTCTTATCTGGACAACCACGCCCTGGACACTTCCTGCAAATCGGGCTATCGCTGTTAATTGCAGGATAGAATATTCCTTGATCAAGCATAACTCAAATCTCTTGCTTATCGCTCAGAGTCGGGTAGAACACGTTCGAAAGGTGCTTTTCGGTGAAGAAAATGGAGAAGTTATCGTGAATTCAGTAATTGGCAGTGATTTAAAAGATGCAAAATACACTAATTGCCTCCGAGGCCCGGAAATCCAGCCCATCATACACGCTGATTTTGTATCTGCAGATTCTGGCACTGGCTTTGTTCATCTTGCACCTGGCCATGGCCAGGACGATTATGAAGTTTGCCAAAAGCATGGCATCAAAGCAGTAGCACCTGTAGATGATTCTGGACGTTTCACCGCTGACGCATATCCCGGTGACCCCTCTGCGCTAGAGGGCAAACTAGTTATGAATGAAGGCAGCAAGGAAGTATTGAAGCTATTAAAGGATAATGTGCTTGCCGTAGAAAAACACAGACATAAGTATCCTTACGATTGGCGCACCAAGAGACCTGTAATCATGAGAGCCACCGAGCAATGGTTTGCAGATGTTGAAAAGATTAAAAGCAAAGCACTTGACTATCTTAAGGACGTACAATTTGTCCCAAGTACTAGTCGAGTAAGACTAGAAAGTTTTGTACGAGCGAGAAACGAATGGTGTATTTCAAGACAACGTTCCTGGGGTGTCCCTATCCCTGCATTGTATACAAAAGATGGTACAGCAGTCTTAAATGATCGTAGCGTTGAGCACATAATTTCTGTTATTAAAAAGAGAGGAATTAATGCATGGTGGACTGATCCCATAGATGATCCCGCTTGGATTTTACCAGAACTCAAAGGGCTAGTTACTCGAGGAAAAGACACAATGGATGTTTGGTTCGATAGCGGTACAAGCTGGACTCAGACTTCTGCCCAGGCTGATATTTACCTAGAGGGCTCCGACCAACACCGTGGCTGGTTCCAATCCAGTCTCTTGACCTATACTGGTAGCTCCATACAAAATAGAGCACCATTCAAGACCTTAATTACTCATGGATTTACCCTTGACCAAGCAGGAAAGAAGATGTCCAAGTCAATTGGCAACGTAATTGCTCCTAGCCAGATCATGGATGGGTCATTACTGCCGCCTGTAAGTAAATCATTAAACTTTTAAACATAGCTAATTAATAATTAGACAAAATCGAAAAAAGGGCAATTTCCACCCAACCAAGAACTCGGCGCAGATGCTTTAAGACTGTGGGTAGCTAGTTGTGACTATACCGGAGATGTCGTTGTCGGTCAAGATGTGCTCAAATCAAATCATGCAGCCCTTCTGAAATTTCGAATGATACTTAAAATGCTATTAGGGTCAATGCATCCAACAAATAATAAGTTGCCTATCACACTATTAGATCAGATTGCACTCACGCAACTCAGAACTGTCTTAAGCGAGGTTTCTAGGTTATATAGTAATTACGAATTTCATAAAGTCGTGGTTGCTATTAACAGATGGATAAATACTGACCTTTCCGCATTTTACCTCGAGGCTATCAAAGACAGACTGTATTGTGGGGATGGTGGCAGCGTCCTCTATGAGGTATTCCATACCTTCCTGAAAATGCTGGCGCCGATAACACCATTGCTCGTTGAAGAGGCCTGGAGTCATCGGCCACAATGGATGAAAAATCAGACAGAAACTCATCCTTTTTATCGAGAAAATTATCAGCCAATTCTAGCTAGTAATTCTAGAGAAGATGCTATTATCGCATCTGAATTACCGTGGCTGATGAAGGCCAATGCAGCCATAAAATCATCACAAGAAAGAGCGAGGTCACAGAAACTCATAGGGGCATCTCTTGAGTCTTCAGTCTACTTAGACCTACCCCCCCCGGCCGTCCTAGTCTTTCAACGATACAAAAAAGAATTAGACAGTATATTTGTGGTATCCTCAGTTGAGTTTGGTGCCGGCCCTGATGCTGAGTGGAAGTTTGACACCAAGTTTGACGCACCTGGTGGTACAGCTACAGCTTGGGTGTTACCCCCAAAAAACAACAAATGCCTTAGATGCTGGAGATATCTTGCACCGACTCCTGACAAACTCTGCTCTCGATGCGAACAACTTGTAACTGATGATCTATAGTAGCTTAGCAAAAGTTTCCCACCTCCATTTGAAGACATCAATCGAGGGATGAATCAAAACTTTTTGGCAACAGAATTGAGTCCTCAAGCTCTTGTTTCACTTCTGGAATTGTATAATAGTATCTATTGACTAAACAGTATTAAGTTTGCACACGGGCATGAATCATTGGCTAACAGTCCTTCGATAATATTGGTTGTTGCCGCATGTCAATCTTATCGTGCTAAACATTGGTTTCATCATTTTAACGTCTGATATGGGAGCCCTCTTCTTTCGAAGGATTCACTTGGATAGCTCCTGTAGAATATAGAACCTTAACAGATAAATTAATATCTAATGTATTAATAAATAGACTAAATACTTTGTATTATGACAACTAAATGCGGGTTTGGAATTCACGTCTGCTACTAACAAATATGTGATAAAAAGCACTCAGCCTGGCTTGATCTTATTTACCAGTTAAACTGAGAACCTTGAACTGCATCACTTCTCTCGCAGGATTGTGATGCTATTAGCCAATATTTTCCTACATGTGGAGCCGATCTCAAATGAGGTTTGATGAAGATCAATGCGGGTGAAAACGAAAAGTCGTTGTTTGTCTTAAGGCAAACCATGAAAGTATAGCTGAGGCACAATTTTATCACGTCTTCAGAAACTAGTTTGGTTATCAATGAAAAGAAATACGCCAATATGTCAACGAAAGTGAATGGTGAAGCATCTTCATAATTATTATGGAAACAATGAACACTGAGCCATAAGTTGATCTGAATTGATTTGAGTAATCGAATATGACAGTCCTAACACACACACCTAGGAGGCTTGATGAGGGTAAATGTTCCCTGAGAATTCCATGCTACCACCAAGCCTAACTTCATCTTGACGGTGAAGGTGGCTATAAATCACAATAAAATTGATGTATATCATGTTACGAGAGAGACCAACCCTGATCCTAATATGCACATATCGCCCCGTGAGCTACTTGCATTTCTTCCGTATGTCGTGGGCAGATGTCAGTGCAGATATCTATATCTTATACAGCTTGCAAGTCTAGCAGCTCCATGGTAGGTGCCTGAGAAATATTCATGATACCTCTCCAATGCCCCTAGGAAGCCTGGATTAAATAATTGGAGGCTTAGACTAATGACTCATGTGATCTGGGAATTCGGGAGTATCGCAAGTGCAGGTGCTCAGTGCGTCCAGATAATGGAAGTAGATCTCCTCAGGTCCCAACACTGACAAGAAACTATAGTACATTCTTATGGGGTACCGGGGAGAGGGTCACAGGAGTTTTCAGGGGATATGCCCTCCCCGAATTCTATGTCAGGACCTGCCGTAGTCGACTCACAGAAAGAAATGGTCTGCTCTAGGACTCGTCTGCTCTTTTGGGCTCCATGCATCTGCCGGCCATCTAGAGAAATAGGCGCATCCTTTTTATTTTTATTTTATTTCAATTTATTGTCTTGTCTGAGTCTATGACTATGTAGGATATGCAGGTCCTCTCTGCCGACAGGATATGTATACCTATACCAGTAGTATATCCCCTCCTCTGCCTCCCACATAGCTCCCCTCAAACAGTACCACCCCTCACAAGCCCTCATTCGATCATACAATTAGAGGATCCCTTTGCCCTTCATTATCTCCCCTCTCCAGCCAACGAAACGATGGCCATTTACGGGTGTATGGCAGCCAGGAAAAATCGTAAAAAGCACCGGGTGCAGGGCTCCTCTAGTACCGAAATTAGGACTAGATCCGAAGACATAGTGACCCTTCCGAAGCGTTCGAGGCCGGCCAGCTAGGCCTTACAGACTTGTGGATACCTCGGGAAATTCACGCTCTGCCTTTCTAGCCTCCTTCCAACTCCTTCCCGAAGATCGTGCTGAAATTTGAGAAAAGTCTTGACAGAGCGTGATTGCTATATGGCATCTTAGCCCAACTTCTTATGTGCTGTCCAGGGCGTTGGGGAGTGCCGTTGACTCATCAAAAATAGAAGCCCTCCTGTCTAATCAGCCGAAACCTCGATCTTGGCGCCCAAACGTTCCAAAATCGAAAACATCTCGAAGACATTAGACCTATTACTTCCCAAAGAAGTCTCTTCTTTATATCTCTCAAAGCTCCAGTCGCCTATCCTTACTCAAGCTATGTAACCCCATTAGAGCAACAGTCCCCCATAAACCAAGACTCCAACTTTGTATACTATGACTCAATTTCCTCCTTATGGGTATGTGTAGCGTCGTAAATTTGTAATGGGTGATGGCCAGTGATGAATGAGGCAAGCTCCTATTTGCAGCTGGAGTAACGCCTTTATCGGTCGTTGAGGCGAGGTGGTGTGTGGAGAGGTTAGGATAGAGGACTCTCGTGAAAATGTTGAGACCGAAGTTGATGAGAAGTTAGCGATTATAGATGTGTCTGTGTTTGCTTTCGGCTTCAATTCGGATGCGATTCTTCTTGGCTATCCCAGATATGCAGAGCATACTGAGCGATTACACCAGCACCACTGGAAGGTGAAGAATTCGTCTTTGCCGGCCAGTGTAGTCAGTTGTTTTGACGTGAATATCAGACAGGATAAAACCTGTCTGCAGCTCATATCTGGGGTGTATCTAATAGAATTGAGTTGAATTTGTTTATTCTACTACATAAGTCATAGACTATCTAGCACATTGTGCTCCTCTCCGGCTCAGACCACACCTTGTAAAGTGCTCCTATCCCATTTTGTTGCTCAAAAGATTATTGATATGTTGTCCGTGATCAATAGCCATTTAGCTCAGTATCTACCCACGGAATTCGGCCACCTTTTCCACGGAACCTTCTACCCCAAAATAATAAGAATGGTAGCAGTGGAAACTGCGTGCGCGGGAAAATTTCCCAAAAAACCTGCAGCCCCAGCCAGGCGAGACCCAGACACCGCAACCACACGAGGTGCACAATACCATCTATATCTCCCTTCTATATAGCATTAGAGGCCATCTTGATCCAATCCGCCATCTCCGTATCAGGTGCTGGGTATGATCCGGAAACTCATTGGATGGCTCCTCCTCCATGATCAAGGATAGGTGATGAGAGGGGCTTCGACTCTAACATCTGATTGCAAAAGTGATTTGGAATCCTCATCGAAGTGATGACTTCGTTTCTCAATCTAGGCTTTATAAACTCTACAATGAGAGCTAGAGCTTCGTTGCAGATACTCCTGATAGATGTTGAGAATAGTTCTCCTTGTTGATGGAATTCACTGGGTTGTGCGGTTGTGTAATCTCATGTAGTCGGATCCATGATTAACTTGCCAAGACCATTCCTCCTGATCGACATCTCGAAGAAAGCTCTCAAATACACTCTCTGACGTGACTAAATCTCGGCTCTGGGAGAATATTTCACTCCCAGGTTCGTAGAGGACATCACTGACAGGTGTTCAGTCTTCGTCCTCACAGGCTATTATTGGGTTTGTTTGTTCATTAACGAGCTAGGTAAAGTAACTACCGTTGCACTCCTACTGGAGCTTGAGTAGTGGTGGGGCCGGGCTGGATCAGGTTAACTACCATTAAGTACATCTACCTCGCCCCACCTGAATGACCGGACCACCTCAGACTTCACTCATGTGTTGAATCATGTCAAGCCCAACCGTCCAGAGAATCCCCTTTTGGCGCGCCGAAGCGGAGATTCTTGTTCAGCCTCGGCCACCACGCGCCCGAGCCCTTGACACCCCCGCGATCTATAACTTTTCCCTTCCATTCATTCCCAGCTTTGGCCCACCTCAGCATCTCCTCATATCATCTGGGGGTCGTTTTCTTCATTAGAGACCTCATCCAGTCGCCCACCAAGGCCTCCTCAGTTTCTATTCCCTTTTGGTTCCTTCATGTAGCATCCCTCTATCCTTCAGCCGATATCGTCATCCAAGAATCTTTGTAGAATGTCCAACCCTCCGGCCTTACCCTGTTGCTGCCGTACCCCTAACTGTGAAGGTCGAAAACGCGACTGAGAGCTCAAGTCAGAGGCACCAGTGCCCCAGCCTTTGTCGAATGCTCTATTTGGTGTGCCGGCGAATTGTCGTACGTATTTCGTCGGTGGCGATTCGTCGCAGGTCGAGTTGTTGGTGCCCTTGGCCGAGGTGAGGACGCGTGTAAGGCCGGTATTTCGACCGTACCATCACAGCGACTGGCAGTTGCAGAGGGTCAGACATTCTCTTGCTTTTTGGTTGGCGATTTGGCTTTTGGAGGTATGGGATTGCTTAGGTAGATGGTGAGATGATTGTGGAGAGGGCTGCAAGATGATTTTGGCCGAGAATGCTTTTCCAGAGAAATAGAAAACAAGATCTTGAAGGTGTCGGTTGTTGTGATACGAAGATCAGACAGGTTACAGGCTGTGTGCGGTTCGTATCTGGGGTATAGATGGTTGATTTCCTTGAGTAGTGCAGTCGTGAAATCTCTGCAAGTCGGATTTTCGACCAAAAATGAGCCAATACCACTCCTCCCGATCGCCAACTCGACGAAAACTCTCAAATTCACCCTTTGTCGTGACTGAATCTCGGCTATTGGAGAAAATTTCACTCCCAGGTTCGTAGTGGACACCGCTGTCAGGTGTTCAGCCCTCGTCCTCCGGGTCGTTATTGGGATACTGATCATAGGAATTTCTACTCCCATTTCGGCGTAGTGTAGCTGAGTAAGCACCGAAGTATGTGCGCTCCATCCAAACTCCTTCGATCGCGATGCGATAAGCTAAAAATTGCCCCCAATTCAACCGTCCCATGTGGATTTACCTGACTGAAAATTTCCATAACCGGTTTCAATTGAAGAATATTACTCAAAAACATATTGCGGTTCAGCAAGGCGCTTCCAGATTCACCCAGGCAGATTCAACTCCCATTTAAATCTTGTTCGTTCTCACCGAACTTTCCAACAGTTGAAGAGGTCGGTAACTACAGTTCTTTCCATCTATATACCAATATAATTATTAGAAGTAAATGGTACGTAATTAATATAGCATATCTTCCTAGCTGTCATATTGATGAGAGAAGCAAGACTATCGTTGCATCATTTAACTTATCCATAGGCGCATCGAATAATAACCCAAGTTGTCGTGACTGGATCCCGAGTCTTTGGGCGTGCCCTAGTTGAAGCGTGGAAGCAAGCTAGTGCTTCTTCTCAGTATGCCCGAGCGCAAGCCAAAAATCCCAATGCAAACCCTAGCTATTCTTCCCATGGACTTACACTCGAGGAAGCATGCAAAATCCTCAACATGAAACCACCTATAGGAGGGAATATGAACGCCGAAGAAGTTACAGAGCGATTCAAAAAGCTCTTTGATGTCAACGATCCTAAAAAGGGTGGTAGCTTTTATCTCCAAAGTAAGGTGCTAAGAGCTAGGGAAAGAATGGAAGCGGAAATTAGGCAAGAGCAAGAAAAAGTTGCTCGGGAAGCAGACCTGAGAGAGGGTTGGAAGCCAAAAGTGTATAAAGATCGCTAAAAAAAGACTTGGTGAAATGTATGTCGGCAAAGGGCGTTAGGCATTGGGCACGGGGTTTATAAAATGGATAATACTACTGTGGTACGGAGTTAATTGCTTTGGGCTCTAGTGTTTGCATAAATGTTTTCGCGATGTCTCTGGTGGTAATACAAAGATAGAAGGGTCTTTGACGTGGATGTAATATGTGAGCTGTATCAGATTTGCTCGTTATAACTGACTGATGAATGCAGGTCTTTGTATAATTATGAGTAAGACTAGAGTTTTCCAGAGGAAGATATCTCCACTCCAACAAATTCAGTACAGAGTGATTTGCTGGTGCCGAATTTTAGACGCGAATTTCCATCTGCGGGAGAGATTTAAACACTTAAACTCGGACGTTTGGGAAATTGATATTATAATTCAAATTGTATTACTAGCACATTCCCGGCTAGCACATACTTGAAATTCTAAAATCCCATATCTTAGCTAAATGCCACTATCCTCATGGATTTTTCAATCGCTGCAAGTTGTGATGTTGTTATCACTGAATTATCTTTTTGTGTTTTTAGATATGCCATATTGTAGAACGCATGCCTTGTGTGTCTTAAGTAGTGGTACACTTGTGGTCCGGTCTACTGACTAGGACTCAAACGTTGGGGATTGGGCAAAGTCTAACGACGAAGCTTGAAGATCAGTAGATGTGCCATCTAACATTATCACGTGATATATGGCGCGTCATGTATAGCATCCACAACACAAAGTAACAATTTATTATCGTAACGCAGCAAATATCTACCCGGATGAAAATACGGGAAGGACAGCAATGAAATAGAGAGGAAACCCCATCAGTATCTACAAAAACCTTAACAGGTCCCAAAGCAGCATCGCCATGCAGACAAGAGGTGAGCACATTGGGTTCAACTCTTATCCGCATGGAAGACAAGTTCCAGGTATAGAAAGCCCACGATTCCAATGTGGATATCAGTCTTGGGATGATAAGTACAAGATTATAGCCAGCACCAAAAGGGCCAAAAGAATGAAGAGAAATACTGAGGAAGGCAGAGAACCGATCATTCGAGGCCATGATGAATAATCCCAAAGATATTGCAAGGATAACTAGATGGATCCAGCAGGACGGGCGGCCAGATTAGTTTCGATTCACGCTTGAAGTCGAGGCCACGGCGAGGGAGAGAAGAGAGTAGGGTAAATGTGATCTCCTGTCGGTAACAGGGAAGTGGACGGCATCCGAACTGCACATAACCGTAGAAGTGCACTCCTTGAAGGTGACACGATATCAAAGTGTAGACAAATTGAAAATTTGAGCGGTTGTTTTTTTGCATCAGATTTTAATTGCCTATGCAGCTACTTAGCCATGACACACTGTCAAAGAAAAGTGCAGAATAGATGATTCAATGTAAAGGAGGTGCACTCATGCCTCGGATTCCATTTGCAAGTACCACTGCAAAGTTATGGCGCTTTTTCCTTCACCCCAAGTCAGCCCTCATCCATGAATACCCAGCCAGGGAACGTCTCAAAACCCCGAGTTATCCAAATATGCCTCCATCATCTACTTACTTTTCTCCGCGCGAAATGTAGTCAGAGAGTTCTCCTTCCCAAGTGGGGTAGGTACTGATGCTACTCAAAACATACCACAGACAACCACCATGATGAGGTTCCTGGTGTATTAGTATGTGTGAAAAGTGAGATAAGCTTAGCTTTATGATGGCGTAGGTTACGGGTGTCTTGTGGCTCCTATCTACCAATAAGTATAGTAGAGCCTAAGACTAGATGTAACTATGTTTTCTATTAATCCAGGGTATCGCCTATATAAGTACAGTATTCCTTATCTTGCGCCCGGACTCCAACGTGAACAACATTACATAAGCATTACAATTTATCAGAGCCTCGTACTAATCTAGAGATCTGTCAATCTTGGATCCTCAATGAGGCAGATCACAGCGCCTCCCATCGTTTCCTTGTGTATACAGTATCTGCTTCACCCTCGCAATCGAAAGCCTGTCGCGCACAATACTCATCAACATATAAATATGCTAGCCAAAATTAGAAATGTCACCCCGATCGAGATTGTATCCTTCCTTTGCATCATCTTGTCAAATTGCCTTGTTTCCTCTCACATTCATCCCGTGGAGTAGCATTCCAAATTTGTGTGCCGCAAGTTTCGACCTCCTGCGGATATTCGTGTTGTCGTGCGCGTATATTTAGTGACCGGCTGAGGCCCGAGAATAGTCGATGAGAGGTGCGCTCATTGGAATGAGGATGTACTTGGTGGTGCCTAAGAGCTTGATGAAGCTTTTGGAAGGAGACGATCTCTTTAGGTGTCAAAATTTGACATGGTGGAGTGTTTTGAATCATTGCCTCGTGGGCTAACTTCCTTGATATTGCGACATTTGACTGAACATTGCTCTGGGAGAATATTTGATTCCCAGGTTCGTTGAGGGCACCGCGTACGGGTGTTCAGCTATGCCCTTCGCCATTTCAAATCACATTGTTTTATCCGACATTGCTACCTCGACTTCCCCTGCAAGTCGAAACAGCTTTATCCATCATTTGTTAAGCATCTACTGTATGATTCTAGCCATATCTTCTGAACTATTTATCATTGCTTCAAATGACTTGTCTTTAGCTTGTCGGAGAAAGTCGCCTCTCCCACTTGCCCACTGCGGACACGCCAAAACCATGTGCTTGACTTTTTGTTCTGGATATCTACATTGTTAACTTGAGTTTCAGTCCCGGGTACCTTTCTTCTGTACAGGTAAGAGTTGAGCCCGATATGCTCGCTTCTTAGCTGAATGGCGATACTGCTTTGAGCCCTGGTAAGGTTACGGTGGATGTTTAAGGGTGTATCTCTAAAGTTCTTTTTTGTGCTGCCTGTTTTCTTCATCAATAAATATTTCCATGGATTTACCATGATTATACACGTAGTTACGATTATTTTTGGCAGATGTTTCAGCACTGTCATACCCATCCTTGACCTTCTTGTTGAAGATCGATCTTCAGTATTTGTTCTATTCTGTAAGTCTATTATGAGACAATTCCCATCAGGATAATTACACACTATTTTATGAAATTGAAGTCTGAGTGTGAGTAAATGTTTGGGTTTGTTGTACAACTTGAGTGTATGACTATCTAGCAAATTGATCTCCTTTCTGGCCTTGACCACATCTTGTGCAGTGCTCCTATCCTCTTTTGTTACTTGAAAGTTCATTGATATATTCCCCTTGATGAATAGCCATTCAGCTCAGTGTTTACCCGTGGAATTCAGCCACCTATTCCACGGAACCTTCTACCCAAAAAAATAAAAATGGTAGCAATGGAAACTGCGTGCGCGGGAAAAAGTCTCAAAAAACCTGCAGGCCCAGCCAGGCGAGGCCTAGACATCGGGACCACATGAGGTGCGCATATCCATCAATATATCCCTTCTCTGTAAAAGTCGAGGTTATTCTGATCCAATCCACCATCTACGTATCGAGTGCTAGGTATGCTGCGGAAACTCATCGGATGTCTTTTTCTCTATGATTAAGAATAGGTGATAAGAAGAGCTTTGATCCTACCATCTGATCTGATCATGGCTAGCTTCATGATAATGGTATAAGTGTACTGATGCGCGTGAATGGGATATGGATGGAATCCCGAAGGTGATGCAGCCATTTTCCATAGCTATGACGTTGACTAATATCATGGTTAGCAAGACGTGATGACCAAGTCGGGTGACATGCCAATGATTAAACGATTTCGAACTTGCCCATCAAATTTGCTTGAAACTACGACAAGCCGCTCGAGCTGTAGCTCATCAGTCTATAGCATTTGATTTACATGCGTTTCAAGCTATCCACGACCTCATCTACCCTTGGAGCTATTATCACGTCATATTTTCATGGTATGCATGGGTGAAACTGTAACCCATTTATTGGAACCTTGACTCTTCAATTAGAGGCGAAAACACTACTTAAATTAGGCTATTATTCCTTGTAAATTGAGTTTCACGTAGTAATTCATGGAACTTGTCTAATGAGTTAATGTCATATAAATTTGTCGGGGACAAGTTCTGCGCTTACTTGAACAATCCGCGGATGTTTGACCCGGAGATTCACAGTATTCCTTAGAAAAATAATTGAAAATTAGCTTTGATGAAACATGTACATACAAATTCTGAGTCTAGAGCTCTGCGCCCTGACTGATTTCCCAATAAATGTCCACCAATCAATCTCTTTATACGCTACTGTCTTGGCTTACGCCATATGTCGCTGTCAAGACCTGACTCGCTCTCTGACATATCAATCCACCGAAGCAAACGGGTTATGTCCCATGCTAAACGAATCGGTAGCACAATCCGAAGTATTTGTCTAGTCACACACATCATTCCAAATCGAGATCTCTCCTAAAGTTAGAGTCCCAGCATACCCATCTGGGACCTCCTCACTCGTTCGTCCCACGTCCCAGCTGCCTGTCCCCCCTCAAGATGTGAAGCCCCAATAGAGCAACGGTCCCCCACATTCCAAGATCCGAGCTTTGTAGATTATGACTTAATTTCCTCCTCTAGAGTGTACATAGCATCGTAATTTTATAGTGGGAGATGGCCGGGTTTTGATGAGGCAAATGCCAGATTGCAATTGGAGTGAAACCATTATCGGTATGTGAGGCAAGGTGGTGTAGTAAGATTGAGGTGAAGGACTTAAAGGAGGATGATAAGTGCCGCATGATTTAGAAGTCATCAAATGAAGATATGTATATGTTGTTTTCTACTTCGATTCGGATGCGATCCCTCTTGGCTATCCCAGATATGCAGCGCATACTGAGCAACTACATCGGCACCAGTGGAAAGTGTAGACTTTGTCTTTACTGGCGCACTCCATGTAGAATTAATAGGACAATAAATTTAACGATAGCTACCCACACAAATGTTCTATCTGATTATTTTTAGAGGGGACGTCATAGCTTGGCTCCAAGCAAAATATAAACATCACCATAAATCGCTTATTCATCTTACTACAGAATTTTCTCTGGTTGCTGTAATCGGTCTGAGACGGGTGCAATACTGCAAACAGCACGACAGACAAAAAAATACTTAACTACATAATCTTTGCTTGGTGTGTACTAAGCTATTTGGGTCAATGAATATCTAAGCCAGAAGACTTGATTCATGTAAGCCCTCATTTTCACCAACCTTCTGGGTGTTTTCCACTTTGACTAGTTAGGCAAGCTTCTGAGAATTCAAGCGGCTTAGCAGACACAAGTCAGGCGTGACTTATATAAATCCTGTCATGAATATGACTTTCCTTGCTCATGTACTTGTTTGATACACGATGAAAATTCTCAAATTCAAACAGTCGTAGCTCTTGAGACTATACATGACTCGCAGTTGAAATACTCATCAGAAAGTTATCGGGGCCGTCATAAAGGATGTGACTTCAATGCAAAAATCAGGACTATATACATCGAAAACCCTACACAATTTGAAAATTAGCAAGCTAATGATAAGCTTTCATCATTCATTTCATTATTATAGTAACGAACAGCCGTTTTCCGAAGTAGATCAGTATGCAAACGACTAGTTTTATCACTATTAGCGCTGCCATTCTCTTTCTCCCAGCCGCCTTTGGTGATATTGGAACTACTTATGAATGCACTGGTGCTACCTTCTCATCTCGGAGAGAATTGAAAAATGCTCAGCAGGTGTGCATCAATAATCTAAATAAGGGTGTACAAATGCAGAATAAAGTGGGAGGCAGTAGAAAAGACTCAAAATATCATGTTGTACTAACTCCCCATGAAGGATTAAAATCGCCAATTAAGCAAAAAGATAAGTGTGAGTCTATTCCTTACTTACGTTCAATTATTAATCACTAAAAATGAGAAGTGGAATATATTGCTGAATATCAGAAGTCCGACTGTAAACTTATCCATGTTTTCGAAATCAAAATGGGAATTCGCAAAAACTGCGTACAAAATCTTGATCAATTCTCCCAGGGAAAAATTCAAGGAAATTTAAAATCACACGAAGCCAACAGGCAGAACTTAATTCCCTGCGGCGATTATGTAATGGAACTTTCATACTTAAATAGGGCAGCCAATTCGGGCTGTGCAGCTCTTCAAAGAATGCAGATAGGTCATCATGTGCCGCATCTCAAAAAATCACTTATCACGAAATTTCCAGATTCCAATAAATTCTACAGATCTGGAACTTTGTATGAATGGCCTTTTCATCCAGACGGCCATTTACAAAAGACGGGTGGGTTGAAAATCTCATGTTTATTATGCCATACTTTAAGTAGCTAAATTATCTTTAGATGAAACTCCAGGTAGATATCGCATCATCATCAACTCAGAATGCAGCATTGTTGGCTTTCGTGTTCTGCGACACTTGGATGGATCCATCAAAAAGAATGAACTAATTTGCACCTTGATCATACCTCATGCTGACTCAAATATTCGTCAGAAGCACATTAGACGTTAAAACTAGTAGATTAGATGTTTTGCAGTACTTTGTAACTTACAAACATCCGCAAACTTGTAAATTGAGAGCTTTTATTATTATTTGTATATGATCACTGGAATTGTAAATGAAGATTGAGTTGAGGAACCGTAAAGTCTTGTGAGCCGATTTGTGGATCTAGAATAGTCGGATCATAGTACCCCCGTGTAAGGTTCGGAATAACTATTGCACACACCACCTCTGTAGAGTAGTAGCTTTTAGATATACAGACTATAAACCATACACCTGATAAAAGGCGAGCAGGCAGTACAACAAGCACCGCCAAGACTAGATGGTGCGGTGGTACATTGTCTTGGCTGTTCTGCCAAATAAAATATGGGTAGACAGGGCACGAATGCCTGTAGAGACAAAAGATCGCTAGCTTTTTAATTTTTTTTATTTAAATCACTGTATGTGCATTCAGCTGTAGAGCTACGACACATGACCGTTGCTATGTATACATGTTGGATGAGTTTTTTGATGTTAGAGACACTCATACTCTGGATTTCATTTGCAAATACCACTATGAGGTATGCTTGCTTACACAAGCAGTCGTCCCTCCTCCGTAAGTACCCACCAAAGGGAAGTTTCAAAACTTTTGATTATCCAAGTATGCCTTCCTCATCCATGCATACCAGCGCCGCGAGAAAAGTGGTTGTGTTATGCTAGATTTGAACTAGCGATCTGGAGGGCAAGACTGAACACCTGTACCCGGTGTCCTCTACGAATCTGGGAGTGAAATATTCTCCCAGAGCCAAGTTCAGTCAAATTTCGCAATAACGAACAAGTTGGCCCACGAGGCAATAATTCAAACTACTCCACCACGTCAAATCTTTACTCCCAATGTGTCCGATTCCTAATTAAGCCTCATCAAGTCTACAAGTACGACCTAGTACAGCCTTATTCCAATGATCACACCTCTCGTTAACTTTCTCTGGCCTCAGCCGGTCACCAAATATACGCCCACGCCGATATTTATACCCGACGGAGGAAGCAAAGCGTTACGCACAAATCTGGGAGACTGTTCTTTGGGATTGGCGTGAGAGGATTCAGGACAAGTTAACAAGATGATGCGAAGGATGAATACAGTCTCGACGGGCGTAAAATTTTGAAGTTTGGTAAGGAGTTTCTACCAATTGAGCTTTGTGCGTGCCAAGTCTTCGGTTGCGAGAGTGCAGGCGACACTATAAACACCGCCATGGCTAGATGGTGCGGTGGTACATCGTCTTGACCGGTCTGCCAAGTAGAGTCTGGATAGCTTGGATACATATCCCACTCGAGACAGTAGATCGCTGGTTCAAATCCGGCAAAACACAACCACCTCTATCGCGGCGCTGGTATGCATGGATGAGGAAGGCATACTTGGATAATCAAAAGTTTTGAAACTTCCCATTGGTGGGTACTTACGGAGGAGGGTCGACTGCTTGTGTAAGCAAGCATACCTCATAGTGGTATTGGCAAATGAAATCCAGAGTGTGAGTGTCTCTAACGTCAAAAGAGTCACCCCACATATATACATAGCACCGGTCATGTGTCATAGCTAGATAGCTGGATACACATTAAATGATTCAAAAAAAAAAGTTTTTGTTGATAATCTTAGGATGTTACGGACAAAATTCGTGGGCTCCAACTCCTATCTCCCTCGGGTGGGCTCGAACCACCAACCTCTCGATGACTCTGGATAACAGTCGAACGCGCTAGCCAATTGCGCCACGAGGGACTGAAATTTATGTAACAAATATGACTATAGACATAGTCAAATTATCTAAAATAAAACAAATTCCGAGCCATCTTATCTTCAATAAGTCTGATGGCTACAAGGCATAGATGATATTACTATGTGACGCGAGTGTAAAGAGAGAAGAGATTGTAAATCTGTCGTGGAGAGTTATTAATTTCGCCCTTTTGGACGCAGAGCGCTACTTCCACCACTTTCTATAGTTGCAAAATCTAGTGGCCTGCATCGGTATCAAACGCAGTAACACCAACCTCTCAGTCAATGGAAAATTGATCATCTTTATTCTACACAGACTTTTCTTCACTGGAATCGGAAGCACCAATTTCAACGCCCACACGCTGTAATGAAGGTAGTGCTTTGGTTGTCCTTACGTTGACTACATTGGCGCAGTGTATAGCATGGCATCAATCACGTTGCCGTAATGAAACTCTTCGGTTTGCATTGTCTCAGACGGAAAGCTGACTACTAATAATGTACTATGCTGGCCATTTACTATGGCTGCTTTACCGTCATCCATTATGTAACCATCGAGTTTTATTCATTAGTAGGCTGTGTATCCGAGCCGCAGTCGCTGGCACAATCTTCTTCATTGTAGCGTAGTTATTTTGGTAGAAATCCAAATTCAGTACGCATGTAGATTTGGATTTCTAGGTATGGCAAGATCAATTGTATTGATTCGATTGCATGAGAGAAAGCCTCGATGGGTGATATTAGGTTCAGTGGTATCCAAACTTCACTGGCTGGGAAATTCTACTTTGCGATAAGTGGGTGACTGATAGTCACTAAATCACTGGGAGTTCAGGATTATTAAATCCTTGGAAATTTGTATTCGATGATAGACTTGTTTGTATATGCTAAACTAAGTTAACGAAGTTTTGCATATTATTAATTCACATTAGAAAGAGAGTTCGATATCTCATATAACAATCAACAGAAGTTAGTCATAGACTCAGACAGGATTATAATAAAATCTAATCTAATCAACAGAAGTCTTGTCCCAAATTGTAAACTCGTTCGTCGATCTTTTTCTCCTAGAAATCCTTGACAATTACCGACACATTGGCATCTTTGCTCCTTTCAATTCTCGTCTGTTCAGAGACACTGGATGTGTCTGGAGGAAAGTCTTGCCGTAAATTTCTTAATATGACTGGTTGTAGTATGTTTAGCGATGATTCGCTGAGGGATTCAGACCGAAAGGATACTACGGTGTCGTTGCCTCGTACTTGGTGAGTTGCGTATGATTCTTGAATATGTTGCTTGAACTTTGAGAGAAGATCCTATAGTTGAAGGTCGTATGCTCCGTCGATTTTGATACGAAATGCCGTTATGGTCTTTTCTAAAACAACGACCGATCTTTAGGTCTTTCAAGACAGTATTTACCAAACCACTAGTGGATCAGCTTCACATTCGGCATGTACGAGGCTCTTAAAAACTTTCTCGATCGTCTAAGTGTTCTATAACATTGATTTTCATGTCTTGTGACAATTATAGAGCTTAACGGCTTCTTGACGTTCTCCACTTTCGCTAAGTCATCATGCATTTACCTATTATTTATCCATTTATGTCCTATTTGAGTTTCTAACTGTGTAGAACAGAATATTTAAATACAACTTTTCTTTTTCATCCTAATTGGGGGTTTCCTTGATTTGATGTTGGGATCCCGATTACTGATTCACCAGGGAGTGCATTTATCTATGAAAATTAGTCTAAAACTTTTAAGTAGCTTATCCGAGACTTCAGGGCTTTTATCCTTAGAAACTGTCTGATGTCACGGTTCGAGTGTCGATGCTAGAGCAATCAGATATACGAAGGTAGTATATAATTTTCTCTGCGGCTAACTATCGAAATATGACTTCAACTATTTATACATTTGTGAAAATATCTAGAATACATGTTCTTGAGTGATATCTGCTTCTCGCATATTCCAGTCATAGTAGTTCCCAGTCTTACTACCAATTACTAGAATATTCCAGTTACAGCTGAACTGATCTGGAAGAAAGCAAGACCACTGTAGAATTGTGCCTCTTGAATACCAATATCACTAAGCCCTTATTTTACATGTATATCTGTATGTAAAGGTCTATTGTGATCTTTTTTTTAATCATTTAATGTGTATTCAGCTGTAGAGCTACGACACATGACCGTTGCTATGTATACATGTTGGATGAGTTTTTTGATGTTAGAGACACTCATACTCTGGATTTCATTTGCAAATACCACTATGAGGTATGCTTGCTTACACAAGCAGTCGACCCTCCTCCGTAAGTACCCACCAAAGGGAAGTTTCAAAACTTTTGATTATCCAAGTATGCCTTCCTCATCCATGCATACCAGCGCCGCGATAGAGGTGGTTGTGTTTTGCCGGATTTGAACCAGCGATCTACTGTCTCGAGTGGGATATGTATCCAAGCTATCCAGACTCTACTTGGCAGACCGGTCAAGACGATGTACCACCGCACCATCTAGCCATGGCGGTGTTTATAGTGTCGCCTGCACTCTCGCAACCGAAGACTTGGCACGCACAAAGCTCAATTGGTAGAAACTCCTTGCCAAAATTCAAAATTCCACGCCCTTCGAGACTGTATCCATCCTCTGCATCATCCTATCAACTTGTCCTGATCCCTCTCACATCCATTCCAAGGAATTGTCTTCCAGATTTGTGCGCCACGCTTTGCTTCCTCCGTCGGGTGTAAATATCGGCGTGGGCGTGTATCTGGCGACCAGCTAAGGCCAAAGAAAGTCGAAAAGAAGTGTGGTCATTGGAATGAGGATGTACTAGGTCGTACTTGAAGACTTGATGAGGCTTAGGTAGGAATCGATTTCGTTGGGAGTGAAAGATTGATATGGTGGAGTATTTTGAATCATTGCCTCGTGGGCCACCTTGTTCGGTATTGCGAAATTTGACTGAACTTGGCTCTGGGAGAATATTTCACTCCCAGGTTCGTAGAGGACACCGCGTACAGGTGTTCAGTCTTGCCCTCCTTTCATATACTTTAAGCGTTGTTGTGATGGCATCCAATGTTGCCCTGCTCATTGAGCCTTCCCCTTGCATGCTGTTAATGACTCTCTCACCAGTGTATATTTTTCATACTACTTAAGTTACAGACTATCTAGCACATTGGGCTCCTCTCTGGCCCAGGCCCACACCTCGTACAGCACTCCTTGCCTCTTTTGTTACTTGAAAGATCATTGATATATTCCCCTTGATGAATAGCCATTCAGCTCAGTATTTACCCGTGGAATT